GATGCTGTTGTATGAAATTCTGTTAGGCTCTGAGTCCACTCTGCAAACAAATATAAAATCTCATTTTAAATATAAACCAGCAGTTGTACTGTCCACCCATGTCAAGCCAGCATACACCTAATCTTGCTATCGAGACCAAAAGCATCTGAACCAACAGGAGCCGGCTGACTGGCATTAAAGTTAAGAGTCTTTGCTCTGCTGAAGTAGAAAATCTTACTCAGTCTAGCATAATTGCATGTAACTTTGACCTGCTGAGTTACAAATAAAGGTTGAGGGTTTTGATTAACCACCAGGTTACATATTGACAGACCCACCATGCCAGCGACTTGCAGTCATGTGAAAAGGAGACTTTTCACTGCAGTCCTTTGAAATCCCAAGTCCACCCTTACTCACTCCATCGGAATTAAGAGGGTCAGTAACTGATCATCAGCAAGTGTGAGCACCTCTATGAAAGCAGATATTTTGGCATTTTACAGTTTATTACGAGTGTACATCCCAGGAACTTCATCTCAAGGTCACACACTGAGCAGTACAGTACGTCAAAAGCAATTTCAAAGCATGGTAGTGGAGGGGTGATGATTTGGGTTCATTTTAAAGCTACAGGACCATCTGAGCACCTTACAGTCATTGAGTCAAGTCCTCTGTATGCCAAACTGTTTGTCCACTGTCCCAGCTGTCATTAGGGAATCCGACACATGGCTAACACATTAAGACAACTATTCACACTCGCATTCACACCTATGGCCCATTTAGAATCACCAGTTAACATTGCCCATTGCTTCTCTTTGGACTGTGGGAGGAAGCCATAACCCACAGAAACACAGCAGAAAATGCAGACTCTGCACAAAATGCAAACTCAGGACCTTCTTGCTTGCAAAAGCGCTAACCACAGAAGACTGTGTCACTCTAGTATTCTAGTCAAATCTGAAGCCATCTGTTTGACAGCTAAAGCTTGGCTGAAATTGGGTCATGTAACAGGCCAGTGATCTCAAGTACAGCAGAGAACAGAATGGCTGAAAAAGAAAAGAATCAAGGTGTCCAAGTCCAGATCCTCAACCTAGTGCTGAAATGTCGAGGTGGGACCGAAAGCTGTGCATAAATAAATGTTTACATACCTCACTGAACTGAATAGTAAGCCAAAATTCCTCCCCAGTGATGTTAGAGACTGATAAAGTCTCACAGAAAATAATTTCTTTGAAATATTGCTGCTGAAGCTGGTTTTGCAAGCTATTGAATCATTGGTTATATTTAGTTTGTCCCAAGTACTAAACAGACTTCTGTGAAAAGATTTTTCCCACTTACATGTATATTATTAGAATATCTGCCAATAACTGGGCTGCAATCAGAAGTAAAAATATGATTTTAAAAAAGATTGATTTATTTATATCTTTTGCCTTCCTTACATGAGTGATCGCAACAGCAGATATCAGTGGACCAAACTGCTGCATCACCACAGTAACAAATCTCTGAGTTTGTTTTAAGCAGCTGTTTTGCTTCTTATTCTTGTTCTTCTGTAAACAATGAAGAGAAGTCTGCATAGTTTAGTGGGATTTAGCGCCTCCTGGAGGTAGCGTTTTGTACTTTTGGTGAAACTCGGGCTAACCGTTTCCCCTGTTTCCAGTGAGATATTAGATTTTCCTTTATTTTTTGTTAATAAATCAACTGTATTTGTTCTGTGTAACATCCATAGATGTGTTGCTTTTGATTTTCAGTAAAAACAAAGTAAAGAAACCCAGTTGTGGCTAGCGCTAGGCTAGGCTCATCAGAGCCCTTGACTAAATCAGAGTCCTGTCAGCAGGAGTTTGGAATAGTTCTGACAAGTGCTTAGTGGGCAGTTGGATTGTGTGCTGATAACATTACAGACTTGTTTTTTTGTTTTTGTTTTTTTAACTTATTACCTTGTAAAAATGCATCTCAAACTTCCGCGCTGTGCTATATCTCCATGGTGCAGCTAGCATATGTTGCTAAAGATCTGCATTATCAGGATCATTGGAGTGAACGGAGATGACGCGACTCTTCCATTCATCGGCTCTGGGCTCCATGTGCTGTGTTAATGGTAGTTTCTAGGTTACCAAGGAAACAGGAGAGTGATGAGATATGGCACAACACGTGTCTTGGCAGCAGTGCCCACTATAATACCAAAAGTTGACCGTTGTAGATTTAAATGAGAAATATGATCTGTGGCAAGAAGACTAAGTTTAGTTTCAAACTGCTACTTTTAATTTTGTGTATAAGCAGGACAGAAATCCCAAGGAAGATTAATGGTAAAGGGCTAATGAGGAGCTTGCATCTGCTTTCAGATATACATATATTTTTTTTTTTTGCTACTTTAGAGCAGTTAAAGTTGATGTCAAACACTGTGCTTGGGTAAAAATACAGCCTTGTGTTAGTGAGAGTGAGGAAGACATCAATCAAAGGCCATTTCGACCTCTTTCATATCTCTCCCAACCACTCACTTTGAAACACCAGAAACAAATCCAGCACCAGTGAGAGAGAGAGAGAGGAAGTTATAGAGTGATAGGAGATAGGAAGAGCAAGAGTGAGGGAGTGAGAGAGCTTTTTCTATTTATAACCTGTGTGCCCGGAGAGGAGGGAGATGGTTGTTCGAAAGCACACTCGCGCATGATTTTGTTCCGCAGTGCACAGGCTGCTGCTTAAAACACACAGGAACATACAGCAAACACTGCACATGTCAAACAAATTATATACCACGCTGGTGATGAGACGGGTCATTGCTGGGAAATTTAATGGCTGTTTGGTATGCCGAGAGGAGGTACATGATTGGTCCAGTAATCATCCATAGGAACTGTACTGCCACCCCCCCTGTCACACACTCACACGCCGTATATGGAAAGCATTTTTGTGTTCTTAAAGCTGGTGTGTGCGTGTGTACAGAGACTCATTTTAACTCACACACTCACAGTTCAGCATTATTTTATGTAGCTAAAGCAACAACTCCTCCTCGCTCCTCACTTACACAACCTGCAGACCAAAACATTCCCACTGAGATTTATCTGTTTCACAACATCCACGCAAAGGGAGTAAAACATCAACAGTGTTTTAACACTGATTATAGTGGTCTGCGTAAGGAAAACTTGTAATGAAGATTTTTTTTAAGAAAATCTTTTTCAGTGGAGATTTTAGTTGCTTTCATTTTTCAGTTTCATTCGAACTAAGAAGTTCCTCACCTGTTCTACATCTCAGCTGGAATTTTTTTTAAATATGTTTTTTTCTTGTTTTTTTTTTTTACCTTTTTGTTCAACTCAACCCAATTTAAAGTGTAGTTTGATTTCATGTGTGTACAGAACACATGAATACAGGTGTAGTAGGTTCAGTGATTTATTGAAACATGCAGGCGTGACACGGGAATGCAACATATAGATAAAAATTGACTTTGCACAGTCAGTCAGGGGGCGACTGTGGTTCAGGGGGTTGGGAAGCTCATCTTGTAACCGGAAGGTTGCCGGTTCGATCCCCTGCTCTCTCTGTCTTGGTCGTTGTGTCCTTGGACAAGACACTTCACCTACCGCCTACTGGTGATGGCCAGAGGGGTTTCTGTCAGTCTGCCCCAGGGCAGCTGTGGCTACAACTGTAGCTTGCCAGTGTGTGAATGTGAGAGTGAATGAATAGTTTAATTGTAAAGCGCTTTGAGGGTCTCAAAAAGCGCTATATAAAATGCAATCCATTATTATTCTAACTTTATGGTTCAACACAGCCTTAGGAAGCTGTCTAAGTAGTCTTCAGGAATAGTTCTCCAGGCTTCTTGAAGGACATTCAAAGCTCTTCTTTGGATGTTGGCTGCCTTTTTTTCCTATTCTCTGTTAAGATTATCTTCAGTAAAATCGAGGTCCGGACTCTGGGGAGGCCAATCCATGATCGTTCTTTAAACCAAGTGCAGATGTATCCCACATGTCCCTTGTCAGGTCTTTGCTGAATGTTTGTATTTCTTAACAACAACATTCAGATCAGTTTTCTCAAATATATAGAACGCACTGCACACCATACTGAGAGATGCCATCCTCAGAAGCACAACATAAAGAAACGAGACTTTTGCACAGTACTGAATACAATACTTAAATGTCTGTAACTCCCATACCACATTTTTTATGAACCACGGGGCTTTTATCTTGCCAAACAAAAGACTTGAAGGTAGTGTCAAAGGTGAGCTCCCAAAGATGTGAGAGTATAAATATTAGTGCAAACAAGGACCTGAGAAACTGTCACGTTTGGAGTTTCACTACGACCTCTGTGGCTGCTATTTTTTGTGTAGTTGCAGTTTAAAACGTAATAACCCTAAAATGATCATTTGCTATTTTTACATTTCCATCTGAAATCATCAAACGAACATGTTCAAACATATTAATGAATTTTTCACAGGGATGATAGAATATATAAACCTTTTTTTAAACCCCTGAACTGCCTCTGGTTCGATGGGATACCCATCCGTGCCAAGAGAAACTAACTGTCGGTGTCTGTCTTTCACTTTATGACAGAAGATATTTAAGCAAGTTTCCTGAGAAGCTGAAACATCCTTAAAGTCCAAATGCAAAACAGGGCTCGGTTTGAACCTTCGTGACTCGTAGTTTCATGTTGACCTCCTACACAAATCCAGCTCAAACTTTTCTCGAGCTCGCACCTGTGGGTGGGCCTATAAATAGCACGCGCACATTTTCTCCTTCGTTTTCACCTTAGTGTGAGGTCTGGTTTTGGCGTCCAGGTGTTTCTCAGTTAGTCATTTCATGCGTGCGAGCCCTGCCTGATAATGCAGATGTTTATGAAGGAGAGCCCCTCTGCTACACAGCTGTGCACATATTTCCTCACCTGCTTCATGTATGGGGCATGTTATTTGTTCAGACGTTGTTTTTTATTATATTTATGTCTGAGGGTTAAAAAGTAGATGCATGTAATGTGAGAAAGCAGGCACGATTAATTCAGGTTTATATGTAATGTCCTCAACTATTAAACATGTCCTCTCCCGCTTTCTCTCTGTCTCTCTGCAGCGTCAGACAACAGCCAGCGGTTTCAGGAGACATGTTTCGCCTTCGCTTTAACGCCGCAGCAAGTTCAGCAGATCAGCAGCTCAATGTAAAATTTAACGCCGCTCCGTCAACGCAGGATGCTGAGTTGTTCATGAATAATTCAGAAATGTACAGGGTTTGCGCGGCTGCGCATTGATAAATGTGTTTCTGCTCTCAAAGGGACATCTCGGGGACCAAATGTGACTTCTCAGTTCAGGTTCAGTTGCGGTTTTGCCTGTCGGAGACCAGCTGTCCTCAGGAAGACCATTTCCCCCCCAATCTGTGTGTGAAAGTAAACGGGAAGCCGTGCAACCTGCCGGTGAGAAGCGCTCAGCCGTTTAATAAAGAATGTTAGAATGCCACCTGGAAAACGACATTAATGATATTCGCTTCTCATTTCTAGGGTTATCTTCCTCCAACCAAAAACGGTGTCGAGCCCAAGCGGCCCAGCCGCCCAATCAACATTACCTCACTGGTCAGATTGTCCACCACAGTCCCCAATACCATCGTGGTGTCGTGGACCGCTGAGATCGGAAGGGTAGGAGCCAAAGCCTTTTGCAGTGTGTGTGAATAACTGACACTTTAGATGCTTAATGAATGAATTTAAACATTTGCTGGTTACAGCTGCTCGAATACGAAGGCTTACTTTTTGCTTTTCTCAGCTTTGGTGTCGTTCTGAAGTTGAAAGCAGATATCTGACTTCCTGCAGCTCCCCCACCCTCGTCTAAGCCTCTTCCATCAGACAAACACGTAAACAAGCTTAATACAAATAAGGCGAAGCTAATTCTGGCTTTACAAAGAAATGACATAGAAATATTATGTGTGAATGTCTTGTGTTCAACTCATTGCACTCTTGCTCCTTTACTTCCTCTGCAGACTTTTTCACTCCTTATACTTCCAAGCACTTGAATCACAATATAGTCTTTTTTTATTTTTAGTAACACAACATAAGGGATTAGAGACAAGTTAAGGTTTGACTTTTTTTTAATGGCATCATGATCATTAAAAAAATTAAATAAATTCTATTGTGTGCTCTATCCAGATACAACACGGTTAATTAATCTGGTGTTTGAGCTGATCTGTGGGTGTTATTAATGTGAATTGTCTGTCTTAAATAGAGGTCCTGAAAATCTGCATTAATCTTGATTAATGTATGTCCCCATTTATGCAACGAGGTGCTGCCGCATGCCTCAGTGTATGATCAGATCACACAGTGTTCTTAACTTACTGTGTTCACATAGATGACAGACAAAAAAAGAAGAAGAAGAAGCAGAGAAGAGCCTATTTAAAAAAAGACTTAAAGAATACTTTGATTATATAAAGAGGCTTTCAAATTGGTGCGAAGCCCAGGAAGGGGCACAGTGTTCCCTTTCTACAGCCAAACGTAAGAGAAAACCAAAATTGGATAAAAACTACAACTTCAGGGGAAGATTTCCCTTTAAAATACATGGATTCAGAGGCGTTTGATGAAGGATTTCAGGATAAACGCGTCATGAATGTGATTAAGAAAATTCTGTCTTTATATTTGCTGGCTTTCATCGAGGTGGGTGGAGCTCGACGTTCCGCAGACGGACAGTAGAGGGCGGTAAAGGAAAGGTCTGAGAACAGAAGAGCTTGCTGACTGTTGCACAACTTACATTAGTGTCACAGCAGATGGATCGATTTCACTGAGACTGTGGAGGCAAACATTGAAAGTTATACTGAGTAACATGTTCAAGGACGTGCTGTCTCTGTCGTGTCTTCCCGTGTGTTCACAGAGTTACTCGATGGCGGTGTACTTGGTGAAGCAGCAGTCGTCCACAGTGCTGTTACAGAGACTGCGAGCTAAAGGCATCAGAAACCCAGACCACTCCAGAGCACTCAGTAAGGACCTCTTTTTAAGAGAAGCATCCATCCAGTGTATCAGCTAATGCTGTTCTTATGTTTCCACTGTAATTTAATGTATCAAAGGCTGAATTTGTGGTGTGGGACAGGGCAAAAAGCTTTAAGACTGAACTCTTATTTTGAAATGTTTTCATCCAGTCAGATGGGAGCTGTCTGTATATTTCTTGCATGCCGTTTTGCAAGTTGCATAAAAAGATTTAGGTGCAGTCAGGCAGTGATTCAGGATGCTCATCTGGCAGGAGAAGTCAGGACTTTGGTTCTGACACTCACACGTGTTTGTCCTTCTCCTCTACCCTGCAGTAAAAGAGAAGCTAACAGCCGACCCAGACAGCGAAATAGCCACAACCAGCCTTCGAGTGTCGCTCCTCTGCCCGGTAAACATGCTCCCTGCTCCTCACGAATTTAAGGCCCTTTTTCGAGGTTCAGTCATGCCCAAACACGTTGCTTCATTCTTTACTTTTCTTTTTCCTCTCATTTTATTTTGTATGTGACTCGACATGCCCTCGTACATAACTTATGTATGTGAACATGAACCACCTGTCTTATTGTCTTCTCTGCCCCTATCCTGTTTTGCTATATGGGTTTGTTGTGTTTGTGACATTTGTGTGTCACTTATACTTCCTTCGTGGCCTGACTACGTATGTGCTCACTGCGCAGCTGGGGAAGATGCGGCTGATGATCCCGTGCCGGGCGCTGACATGTTCCCACCTGCAGTGCTTCGACGCCACACTTTACATCCAGATGAATGAGAAGAAGCCCACCTGGGTGTGTCCCGTCTGCGACAAGAAGGCGCCGTACGAGCATCTCATCATTGACGGGTAGGTCGCTGTGGCCTGCCGGTGACCTTTGATCAAATAGTGCCAAGAGTGGTCCTCTTCTAAATACCTCGGTTGTAACAAATGCTTCTTTCAGTTATTGTTGCCTTTCTATCAGCTCAAAGCAGCCCGGCCGTTCTCCTCTGACCGCTGACATCAATGGGTTGTTTTTGCAGAGAGAACTGGATATTGGATTTTTTTCTCTTAGTTTTTTTCAGGCAATTTTCTGTAAACTTTAGAGATGATTATAGAGGAAAATCCCAGCAGACCAGCAGTTTGTGAAATGCTCAGACCAGCCTGTCTGACACTAACAGCAATGCCACGTTCAAAGTCACTTAAATCACTTTCCTTCCTCATTCTGATGCGTCGTTTTGAAATTCAGCAGATCGTCTTGTCCCTGTCTACATTCCTAAAATCCACTGAGTTGGTCCCATGTGATTGGCACACAATTAGATATGTGTGTTAACAATCAGTTGAACAGGTGTACCTAATAAAGTGGCTGGTCAGTGTACGTGCCATACTATATTTTTTGCAGCAAAAAACAGCCTTTATGTTTAAAGTCCCAGAACACTGTAACAATTTACCTCTTCTCTCCTTTTCTTGTTGTTGTTTGTTTGTTGTTGCTCTGTGGAGCGTTGTATTGTTTTCTTTATTTACTCTGTTACTCAATGCTTGCTATGTGGTTGTTCTTCATATATATATATGATGGGATACAAATAAAATGATACAGCATAAGGGATTTACTCTAATAAATGTAGTGGGGGGGGTTATCTTCCAAACACTTGCTCAATATAAAAGAGCCGTTTGTGGAATGATTTTTAGAGAGAAACTGTTTTGTTGTCGTCTTTGCTTTTTTATGTAATGTAAAGTGGATGCGAAGTCTTTTTCTCTTGGTTGCTGTATGACATGTATGTTTGTTCTCAGGCTTTTTGTGGAGATCCTCAATAGCTGCACGGACTGTGATGAGATCCAGTTTAAGGAGGATGGCAGCTGGGCCCCCATGAGGTCTAAGAAGGAAGTGCAGGAGGTGTCCTCTGCTTCCTATAACAATGGGCTGGATGGTGAGATGAGGGATAAACAAGGAGGGAGGGAAGGGGAATGCTAGCCTGAAAGCCTGCCTTTAGTGATCCCCGCTTTAATTAGGCGAGGCATCTGTTGGGAGAAGTTGTGTTTTTTTTTAACTGTTCAGTCTCTGAAAATCAAAAACATTTGCACAAACAAAAACTGATACATCACCGCCGCTCTACAGGCTCATGCCGGACCGCCGCAGGCTCAGATCAGCGGAGCTCCTCGGCGTCCAGCCACGGAGGCAGCGACAGCAGCAACGGCAAGAAAGTGGAAGTGATCGACTTGACACTGGACAGCTCCTCAGACGACGAAGGACCGGATTCGCCTCCGCCGCCGCCCCCAACGCTGCCTCCTCCTATCAAAAGAGCGTGCCCTTCGATGTCCCCGACCTCGCCACCTGTCATCAACAAAGGGTGAGGCGAGCACACACCCTAGATGCTGATTTAATCTCCGCAGGCAGGTTGAATTTGATTAAATGTGAAATTGATGCTCGTTTTAGCCGCTCGCGTGGGCAGTTTTGTCTCTCTGCTTAAATGATTCATGAGCACAGCATCTTCTTGACATTTCACGTCGGCGCTCGCAGTTGGTGCCCGAGCGTGTCGCCGAAACATTTGCGTCTGATGACCCGATTGACTTTCCATAAGTTGCCTCGCTTGCCTTTTTTGCAAACAGGAATCAAAGTTCAGCCAATCACAGTTTGTCGCAAAATTTCAAAACAGCCGACAAACAGACCCGACTGAAGTCTTGAATCCAGCTTTAGTATGGCTATGAAATTTAAACAGCTGCCTTTTCTACCAATCCAAAATTCATTAGGTGCATCTGCTGCTCCCATTTCTCTTTAATGAATCCTGTGAGTGTTACTTTTCTAATTGAAGGTGACAGGACGGTCCTGTGGTTTATCCCAGTACACGTGACACATCATAAAAGCCTTATTAGAAGTTACGTGGCTTCTTTAATTCTTCATCTCTTCATCTTCTTCCTCTGTGTTTGCCTTTAGCGTGTTGAACCTGCACCATCAGGCCTCTCCTGTGAGCCGTACCCCCAGCATGCCCGGGATAGACACCAGCTACATCCCTCCTGTCCCCCCTCTCATCCAGGACTACAGGCCCTACTACCACACCCCCAATGACCTTTCAGGTAATGACACACATACAGGATGCTTTGCAAGTATTCATGAATACATGTGCATTAGTAAGGATACTGTTGTGTACAGTGCATTTATGTAAACCTAACTATATCCTATATCATTCACAGTGTGTAGCCACATTTTGTTCAAATTGTCCTGACTTTATTTAAAATTCTACCAAAGAGCCACACTGTTCTAACATAACAAAAGTATTGTGCAAAAGTCTTGAGTCACCTCTCATTTCTTCCTGTTTATCTTCCAGTGAGCCACAATTTGTTGTCATTTTTCAAAGTGCTCTTGAGCAACAGTTCTCAGGCTTTCTGAAGGTCTTTGGCTCATCGTGGCTCATTCAGTAGAAGTAATAATTAATAATAAATGCTCCTAACTCAAGAGAAGAAGCAGTGTTGTGTTTACACATAACAGACAATTTAGTAACGCATTTTAAATTCTATCTTTAGCACTTTGTTAGTAGTAGCCTGACACAAAAGTTTGCCATTTTCAAACTTTCTTTAGTTGAATCAGATGAAAAATGCCAGAGCTAACACAGGTATAAAACAGTATTTTTTTTTTTGCTCTAACACAGTGATTCCTAAAGAGCTATTAGTTAACTGATCTCAGTGTAGTGTGCAGTGTGTCCTTAAAAACACTGAAGAAACTGGATAAGTGGAGGACAAAAGAAGAAGTGATAAGACCAAAAAATGGCAGGCTTAAAAAAAACAAACAAACTGTAGCCTCACTTTGATTAATGCAGAAAAGACATTGATTCATTATGGAATAACATGTGGAAAGTGTCTCATTTACAACAACTTCATGCTGAAAATGATCCCAAACATTACAAATGCATTAAAAGGACAAACTTTCATACTGTGATGGATGTTCGGAGAGTAACTTGGGTCAACCTGTCTTGCCCAGTTATATTTGGCATGCAGACTGGAGCAGCCAGGGATCCAACCACCAACAGAATAGTAGATAACCTGCTCTACTTCCTGAGCTACAGCCACCCCAAAGCTTACAGCAGCTGGTGTTCCCAGACGGTCTTCTATCCAAGTGCTAACCGTCCCCTACCCTGCTTAGCTTCTGACTTCAGCTGAGACTGGGCATGCTTAGGGTGCTATGGTCGTAAACTCTAACAATAACAGCACTGTATTTCCATGTATGATTGCAGGTGATTCAATATATTGTTGTGCCTATTTACCATTTTTCTGACAAGGAGGTGGCTCGAGACTTTTGCACAGTAAATTCTGAAAGAAAACACAATGGAAAAGGCAAAAAGCTTAAAATTGCAACTGAACTTTACTCTTTAACTTTTAATGAATCGACCTTGCCTATTTCACAGATTTGTGCCTCTCTGTGCTTCTGACTTCTCTTAACCCTTAAGAGCCCAGACCTATTTCTACTTTCATGAAAATTACGGGGGTCTTATATCAAATGAATCATATATAACCAAGTCTCTAAGTGTAAAGAGGCAGTGACACCAGTGTCACTGTGGGTCCTTAAGGGTTAACTTAAAAAAACAAACATACAATATGTATTTGCATTTGTGATATTCATCACTGACTCTTTCTCTGCTTTATTTCCAGAGTTGAATTTTTTCTCTTTTCTTCAAGGGGACAATCATCCGGTACGTACAGCAGTGTTTGATATTGTGTAAACGTGGCTGAATTTAGCAGCTGAAACACTTTGTTGTTTTCAGTAAAATCCTGGAAGCCTGTGAGAACAAAATGTTCAAAACGTGCTTATGAAAAAAAAAGAAAGCACAAGCTTTGTTTTAGCCCTCCTCAGAAACAAGCTGCCCTCTTTGTGTTATTTCCCATAAAATGTGGCTGTTACCGAGTGTTCTTATTTATTCTGCCTCTGGGCTGTTGTCTGTACTGGTTATTTAAGGAGAGATGAAGGTTTGCCAAATGAGAGTGTCTTGCATAGCTTCAGTAGTGCAATATCCAGCTGTTATCTGCATCTGGGATTTCTTCTGCCAGTGAGGATGAATGGGATGCCATATGTGTCTAAAATAGTATTAAAATTCAACAGCAACTGCACATCAAGAGTCAGTATTGCTTTGCATGAATCCACAGACTTCACAGTGAGGAGTTTTTGTTGGAGAGCAGTTTCGTTGCTTCCTGAAAGTTTTAAATACACTTGGACACCCACTGCAGGTTGTTCGGTGTTCACATATTTTTGTGATTACGGGAAAAACACCTTTTAAATAAACTACTGAACTCTCATTATTCTGTTGTTTGATGCTATCATTTAATTAGAACACTTTGAAACCAGGAAGTACAGAGTTGTGACCAACTTGTCGGGCGATAGTTGATTCTTTTAGTTTATCTGGATTTTTTCCCCCGGCTTCATCGCACTGTTAATGCTCTGAGGACTCGTGCCTTGATTATACTCTTTTGCAGACATGGACACAGACAGCTGGCAGCACCACGGATGAGTAGGCATTTGTGTTGTTACTTATTTGAAGTCCGCCACCTGGGGGCAACATTTTTCTTGTTCCCATAAACACAGGTTTAGACTAGGCTTCTGTGCTCCAGTGGTCACCTGTAATGACTTACAGGCGTAGGTCAGTTTTACACATTCTTCACAACTTCATGTATTCATACCTGTGACAGCGACCGTATATGCAGTAGAATATGTGAGACTCGCCGTATGTGCTTCCCCCCCCCCCCTTCTGGGTCATTGTAGAAAACATGACCGCAGCTTATGGGTATAAAGAATGAGTTCCTTAACCCTGCGTTCTTTTCGAAAACCACCAGATGGCGATATCTGTTTTCCCAGACTTTGGGTCATGTAGAAGTCTGAAGGGAAACTTCTTTCTGTCTTCTTGACTCTCTGACGCTCTTGACGCTCAGTCACTCATTTTGGGTCATATTCAGTCTATTTATCTGCCTATCAGCACTTTGGTCAGTGGTTGCTGTTTTTAAAGTGCTTTATAAATAAAGTTGGCTTGGCTATTTTTTGATTCCTGGTCATAATGTGTTCTACAATGGAACAAGTCATGACTTCAGAAACAGTGGATGACTATTTCCACCTTTCACACTCTCTGTGGTTCAGGTAAAAGTCGCTTCCTGTTTAATGGGAGTTCTATTTCCCCACTCTCACTAAACCATCTTTATATGGGATATCTCTGTCCCATATGAACAAAGACTTAGGTATACCTAAGTCTTATCTTACCATACGGGTATTACCTTACCTTGCAAAGAACCTTGAGATAGATGACTGTTGTTGTGAAGTGAAACTAACAGGATCACACTATACACACTTTAGTAAAATGGAACGCCATCCATCTATTGTCTTCTGCTGATCCGGGGCTGGGTCACGGAGCCAGGAGCCTCCCTCTAAACCTCCTCCAGCTTATCTGAGGAAACAGCAAGGCCAGCGGAGGCCTGCCAAGAGATGGAATCTCTCTGACGTGTTTTGGGGCAACCCTGAGGCCTCCTCCCACTGGGACATGCCTGGAACACCATGCCCAGGAGGCATCCTTGTCAGACGCCTAAGCCACCTCAGCTGGCTGCTTTTGATGTGGAGGAACAGTGGCTCTACTGTGAGCCCGCCCAAATGGCTAAACTCCTCACCCTATCTCTAAGGGAGGTCTTCTGAGAAATCTCTTTTCCACCACTTGTATCCATGATCTCATTCTTTCGGTCGCTACCCAGAGCTTGTGACCATATTTGAGCGTAGGGACAGCTTTGCTTTTACACTCACCTCTCTCTTCACCATGACAGAGCACTACATTGTCTGTTATTAAACTGTATCTTATGCAGAACAGCTCACCTGCCTGAAATGCACAATGATTGTCTGTTAGAGTCCTGTCTGTTTGTCTGGGATAGTTTAGTAATCTCTTATGTTTCTCTTATGTTCTCGCTGTTTGAATGTGTTGTTAGTAAATGAGAAACATAAAAGCAGGATATGCAGATGGGTGAATGACATTTGAACTACTCTCAGACTTAAACTGACCCACATCTGGGTCTTTCAGGACTTTGTGCCTCACTAACACCCCCTCCCTGCTTCTGTTTCTGCCTCCTTTCAGCATTACAACATGGTTATGGCAGCAGCGGCGGCTGCCTCGGCCTCAGAAGACCACGAGCTGCTTCTCAACCGCTTCATGCCCTACACCACCTCCTCCTCCGCCTCCCACCTGTTCCTCGACCAATCGGCAGCCTCTTCTGCGCCTTCGCTGACAGTGCCGACCAACGGGGCGAGCAATTCGGGCAGCACCAGCAGCCTGGTCTCGTCCAGCAGCCTCCGTGACACTCATTCGACACACTCGTCCTCACATTCGAGCTCACACTCCTCACACACGCATCCCGGGGTGGTGGCCAGCCGGAGCAGCACTGAAGCAGCGGTGGCGGCTATTTACGGCGGGATACCCGATGTTATATCGTTGGACTGACCCTGGATGAGTGGAGACGACGGCGCGGGCACAGCTGGAATCCAGTAACAAAACCCGATCACAAACTCAACCGCGAGGGGTGACTTTTAAGAAACTAGACTGTGCCCCCCCCTCCCCCCCCCCGAGTCATCAAACTCTGAACATTCGAGGAGCCGTGACGACGAGTCGATCTCAAGAAGAGCACTAATAATATGAGCGGAAAACTGACCCGAGTCCAGTCCCAAGTCATCGCTTAAAGGTGTGGACATTGTGTTGGTGTGCTGACTTCAGATCAGAAACCTGTCCAGCATGTGAACCCACGTTACTGCTATACTGGTACCAACCCGGCACAACGAGCAAAGATGCTACCTGAGCAAAAACACAAAGGAGGGGGGGAAAAAATCTCTTGTTTTCTTTTTTTTTTTAAATAAAAACAAAGGAGCGGCACCGTGTACAGAGAACAGAATCTATTTTCCTCTTTTACTTTTGTATGTTAAATCGGGACAATTTCAGTCTAGAGAGCTGCTTCAGTCGCTGTTTGTAAGTGGAGGACTGAGTCGGATTTTATTTTTTTGTGTGTGTTCTCACACAAACACGAGCTCATTCATATGCCTGTTGCCATGTGGTTTGCTCTCTTTTAGCTATACGCCATTTCCAGATGTCGGATTTGCATTTCTCCGATCTAAACTTCACTTCTCTCTGCGTGCTGTTCTCTTTTTCTCACGTTCAAATTCACGGCATTTTGTGTCTCTCTCCGACGACGGGAGCTTTTCAGACGCTGAATATACAGTTTATTCATGTGCTAATAATTTTATTATGCTTTTAAGTTATGTATGATATTTAAGCCTTTAGAAATATAAATATATAGATATATATATATATATATATGAATATATATGCATTCCCTTTGACCTTCAGGTTGATGCTGTGGGGAGTGTGGAATTAGCCATTTCCATTTTATTTTAATGTTTTTCATTTCCTCTCCTCAATTCCCGCCTCCTTTTAGAGACTCTACCTGCAGACAGCATTTAGAAGTGAAACTATTTATACCTGCCAGTTTAGACGTTTTCGATGGAACAGTTTCAGTTGTTTATGCCCCCCCAAAAAAACAACAAAAAAAACACACACATGGTACCTGAATATGATCAAAATAATCAAGAGGGTAGTTTGATCTGTGCGTCACAGTCTTTTCAGTCTGCTGTCCTTACTTTAATCCACTTAATCCTCTGCCCACCGTGTCTCGTCTTCTCTGTTGATGATGAAGGTCAAATTGGTGTTGTAGCAGCGCTAGGCCTTTTTAAAGATACAGGCGTCCATAGCACGTGACCAAGCTTAAAGTTGTGCCTGTTTTTTTGTTTTTGGGGGGTTTTTGTTCTTGTTTTTTGCTCCAATTAATGTCTTAAAAGCTTACCCACAACCCCTGGCCCACTTTCCTTTTAAAGCATCTTCTGAAGATCGGACCTGTGACTGATATCATCTCAGGAGTTTTCTTTGGGAAAAGCAGATAATAGTGGGACACGGTTGAAGAAGACAATCTCAGCTTGTCCCTTTTTAGACCGGGTACGGAGCCAGATGGTTTAAAAATACATTGCCTGTCTGCTTCTTAAAAGAAAAAAAACTCTGCGATGTTCAGAGCGTGACGTGGAAGTGTCAGGGCAGCGCAGCGGTTTTAGGACGTTGTTAACGTTCAGCTTAAAAAAGTGAAAGGTTTGCAGTTTTAAGACTGGACACGCTTGCGCTTTCTGCTCCCCTCAGGTTATTAACAGATCCATGTTGCAGAGATCCTCTGTAATCTGGTCACATTACTGGTGACACCGTTAATCCCGGTGCCCGTGCAGCACACCCCACCTCCCCCTTTCTCTGTGTCCTTGAAACTTTCCCAGAGTCCCCTGTTATCCGTCTCTCTTAGACGCTCTTCTTCCAGAGGTCGGACACGGGCAGTTCCCGTCAGAGCCTAATTATCCCCGCCACCGTGAGATAATCGCTTCTGACAGCACAACCCATCACATTAGATCCTCTGCCCCGTCCCTCCACTCTCAACAAACCAGATACACCCCACACCCGCCTTCCCTGTCTCGCCCTCTGTGTCTCTCTCTTGGCATTTGTAAATCTTTTCCCAGGTCTTCTCATGGGAACCCCCCCCCCACCACCACCACCCCCCCTCAGACTGACTCGGTCATTTGCCAGAACAAGTCTCGTCTGTGTCGTGTATGTCGTGCAGTATTTTATTTATTTTGTATTCATATTTCTGTACATTATATTTTTACATAATGTTTGAATTCCATGACTGAGAGTGTGTGAGTCTCTGGGAACTGATGCTATATGACTTTATTTAATGTGTATTTTACTTTTTTTTCCCTGCCAGCATCACAACTTCTCAGAAAGGTGTTGTGTAGTCACTCATAAATGGAAATGCCGTGTGTGTGTGTGTGTGTGTGTGTTTTCTCTGGAGCTGACTTGGGTAATATTTACAATAAGGGCACAAAACACATGCGTTATTATTACGCGCTTGATTTAATGCGCTTCGGGTTCCTGCTGCTTACCGTTAAGAAATGACCGAGTCGGTGTGAGTGAGCACCCGATGGGTTGTCAGTAAACTGTTTAATGAAGAGTTGCTGTAGATATTCGTTGAAATATTGCTTGATTCTGTCAGGAATTTAAAAGTTTTTCTATTCAAGTGGCGGTCACGTGCAGGTTTGCTGCTTTGGCCAGGCGGAAGCAAAACCTTTCAGAGCCTTTAGTGTCAAAAGATTTAAAGCCTTTCGCCATGTTCCCACAGCTGCCGTTAAGCTTTAGCTCATCTCAGTGAAACATTAATCCCCCTTCAATAACAACAAGAAACTATAATAAAAAAGAAGAAAAAGGTTCAAATTGACAACAGAGGTAAGATCACCCCAACCGCAGCAGATCAGCTGATTTCAAAGCCAGACCCAGTCACCTGAAGCATCTGCAGGCCGCTTTGCAACCCACCTTAATCTCAGCTCCATCTTTAACACAGCGCCTGACATAATCTCACATCTCCAGTTCTCCATCTATGTGTAAGCAAGGAAGGTCTCAACACAGAGCCACAGCAGCAAAGATAAATGATTGCAGGAATAAAAATTTAAAATTATATTTTGGATTTAGTGATCCTCGCTTAAACAGCTGTTTAAGTTTAACCACCCGTTTTCTCTGTTCAAAGAAAACGTGTATTCAAATGGGATTATTTTTGTTTGTGTGTTTTGTGGCAGGATTTTCAGATTGCAGAGAGTCTCCAACCATAACTGTAGGCAAAGAGGAACCGCATTATTTATGATATTATTACCATTATGTCAATATTTAACTTTGCTGTTTTTTGTTTTGTTTTGTTTTGTTTTGTTCTTTTGATGGTTGTCACCCATGAGAACCATGTCACGTAGGCAGGAAGCTGCATGCGAGAGCATTCGTTGTGGAAATCGTGTGGATTTCACTCCCAAAGTGAACTGTTGCTGTTCGCTCGCGGCTCAGACTCGGTGAGTTGATCGTTTCTGGGCAGCAGGAACTACGTGAGCCTGTGCGTTTGTGCCTTTATCTCAGCTCCGCTGGCTTGCTTTGCTGGTGAAACCTTCGGTCCTTCACGTTCTCTCCCGTCAGTTTTATAACTAAGCAGCAGTGTTTGGATACTTGATGAGGTGGTCACAGTAACTGAATGAATCCCATCACCGTCTTAATTTATTGAAACGTCTGTCATGGCGCTTGTTGGGCAGCAGGTCACAATGGCAACATGAAGTAGGAGAAGAGACCGTGTTGAATGTGTTTGTGGTGAAGGCGGGGAAAGGTCCGATCCTCCTCCACCTCCTTCAGGTGTCCGCTGCTCCCTCCTCCTGTGGTTTCATTCGCGGCAAATGTTTAGGGCGAAGCAGTCTTTATTGAGCTGGGTTTATTTCACTCTAACAAACAGGATGGATAAGCACAAGGTCGCGGCTTTCTCAGTCCCTCCTCAGCAACACACACACACAGAACATATGGAATAAGGCCACTTTTGTTTTTTTTAAAGCAGTAGTTACTCCTAAGTGTGTGTTCAAAAGAACTCCACAGTCAGCCTCGACAAGCAACTCAACTCTTTGGTTGTCATGACCTTAAACAAAAGGGAAAAATCAGCGACGTGTATATTATGTTCGTGTGGAACCCTGAAAACTGAAAGATTCAGATCCAGACATGGGTGTTTGATGTCCGTTTGTATGCTTTTGTGCGTCGATTCAGAGCGAGAGAATAAAATAATTTATATATTTTTTAGAAAATGGAAGCTGTACTATTATTTAAAAAACAAAAACTAACCAAAAAAAAAAACAGGGAAAAGAAAAGAAAAAAAATACGACCGTGGCCAATAACGAGTTCCACGCTATGAAAACGATATCAAAGTCAGACTTGAGACGACATCTGCACTCACTGCCTTAAAACATTCACAGGTTCTGTTTCGTGGCTCCAATCTGGAAAACAAACCTAAAAGGAGGGAAAGGAGAAGACGGTGTACAGTTAGACCCGTGTCAGTTTGTACAAATATACCAAGTGGGAAAAAAAATATTTATTACCTGCATTGGACGAAATTGTTTACTTATTGAATGTTACTTGTTTATGTAGAAAAGTTTAGATGTAATAAAATGCATTCTGCTATTTCTCTCGGTGTGTTTCGTCTTTCTTCTTTTAATCCTTTTAGTTCTCCTCCCGAACGGAGGACATATGTAATTGCTACTGTTTGTTTGGAAGTAGTGTAGTCGGTAGACTGACGGTAGATACCAGTAAAAGCTCAAGATCACACCAAATAATAAGTTAAAAGATTTAGATTCCTCACAGTTTGATCATCTTCAAACTTTACAATAATATACTAGGCCTGAGGTACATGAATACCTAAGTTGGCTTAGTGTTTGACCTTCACTGTTAGCACCTGAGGTCAAAGTTCATCTTAAAAAAAATTTCAACAAATCATATTGAGTAATATATGAAAGGGCACAGAGAGAGCTGTGCAACACTTTTTTTCCAATAGCTTCCGCCCTACCGGTGGGGTGGAGTATTAGGCGGGGTGTGGGGAGTGTATATAATATATATATACAGTGGGGCAAAAAAGTATTTAGTCAGCCACCGATTGTGCAAGTTCCCCCACTTAAAATGATGACAGAGGTCAGTAATTTGCAC